TAAACAAAACACAAAATACTGCATCCACTGCCTCCATCCTTCACTTTAGGCTCATCAAGGTCAAGAGCAGAAGGCTTCACCTGCTGTCAAACAAAGCCCGCAATTGTAAACTTGACGGATGCAAGGGTTGAAGATCTCACCCTGCTTCATGATTTTTAACTGTTACATTCATTCTGTCTTAATCTATAATTATGGTTTCTGAACTGTACAAGTATGTCCCTCTAAGGAATATGACTCATGACTAATTATGCCCAGAACAATTGAGACGGCCCTCACATACTAATTACATCTATATAACTATCTATATACAGTAATTACCAAGATTCACAGGTGCTAATTCTGTGACTCCGTCAGCTCCCTGCAGAAGAGAAACAAAGCCTCCTACTCCTACTCTATTATTGCTATTGGGCCAACAATCCGTGGTCTATTGATGCTGGTTCACGCTCAACACCTTGTAGCCCTGAATTAACGACCTAAATAAATCTTTCATTTCTGCTTTCAAACCCAAAGCTTAAAGTACATCCAGGGCACTGCTGGCTGCACATCACTGAGGTCGAAATCATCCCAGCCGTCATTGCCTGTCAAACTCGCGAGCTCACATCACCACCTAAACCCGGACCCAGTTTAGATTCCACGGCCGACCTGAAATTTTACCCCTGCAGAACCTCAGGCTCTGTGTGGTGACCTCCGTCTAAAAAGCCACTTGACTTGGGAGTTCAACCAAAAAGTTTAGGAGGAGGGTGGAAACAAGAAAATACTGATGGTTGGCATATCAGATCTGCCAGATCAACTCATCTTTAAGATCCTGGATGTAATTGGGCCAACTCAATGCCCAAATCAATGCAGCAACTGAAAAAAAAAACGTAAACAAAACACAAAATACTGCATCCACTGCCTCCATCCTTCACTTTGGGCTCATCAAGGTCAAGAGCAGAAGGCTTTACCTGCTGTCAAAGCCCACAATTGTTAATTTGACGGATGCAAGCGTTGAAGATCTAAAGCCTGCATTCGCCCTGCTCATGGAAAGAAGTCGTGTTACAATGTTTTACATTGATCGATTAAGATTGTGTTTGGATGTGTTTGCATTGCATGTGCCTCTAAGGATCATGACCTTAGGAATACCGTGAATACCTCAAATCACATCCTAACAAAAGTGGCCAACTTTGAGCTAGCAGCCACAAGTTCTGGGCTGGGCCTCAGAAGCCTGAGGATCTGTCCGAGAACGAAGCTCGTGCAGCTCGCGCTCCAGCTCAACAATACGAGCCTGCACACAAACATCTCTGCATGTCTCGGTGCATGTTTGGCGGGTGGGTTTATGCCCCACCAATTTTAAGCCTACCCTGTGTCCAAACAGCTTCATTTGAAGGAAATGTTGGGTCATCTATGTGGCGAACAGGCAAGAGAGATTCCCAGACTTGTTTTTGTGGGCACTCCTCCCGGATTCAAACGAAACCCAACTGAAGGAACCGTCGGAAAAGCCAGGATAGGATCTGCAATAAATGTGAAGCAAGAAACGGCAATGTGAAATGGGACAAGATTGCATTGGGTGAATTGGAACGTGGGATGCAGCAAAATGAGAACTGAGGTGAGATGAGTCACTTCCCTTCCAATGGTAAGGTGGCATGGCAGCATGGCATGGCAGCATGGGTCCGATGTCTCCAAATATATTATATATAATTCACATGTTTTAACTGCTGGATTGAGACTGCTAAACTGCTAAACCCAAGGCATTCATCTCCTTCAAATTTCGCCCAACAAGAAACTTCATGAAAACTCTCTCTCTCTCTCTCTCTATCTATCTCCATCGCCTTGAAAGCATATCCACCCTAAATTTAAGCAAGAGACCATGTTGGGCGCAGGCTCAAAGAAAATAATCAAACCAAATCAAACCGTCATATGACCGTGGATCCCACTTCAACTCCCACTTCAACTCCCCAGCCTCATAGTGGCTCGCCTCAAGCGCCACAGGTTTGTCTTGGGCGGCTTGTGCTTCCAACTCGGCCACTCGAGTGTGAGCGGTTGACAGCTCTGCCTGCAATTGCCTCAGCTGCCCCCTTCCACCCATTGATAAACACTCTCAGAATCAAACAGCGAGCAAAAAAAGCGCAATTGAATTCTGAACTGGACTGCGTCTGGTGGCATGAAGTCCTTCGAATCTTCGCAGAACACGTTTGATCGCTCCTGAATGAGTCTACGAGTCTTGCAGCCGATTGGCGGCAAAGCATACGACATGATCGAGCACATACCAAACATTACCAAACATAGATGCCGCGTAGAAAACAACTGGTCATACAGTCATACAGTATTTTAAAAAAAACAGAAGTCACAAGCCTCCAGCCTGCGCTGGCGATACATACAACAATGCAATATCTAGCAAAGGTTCGTCTTGGGTAGCTTGTGCTTGCAGCTGCTCGACCTGCATATGAGCAGCTGACAGCTGTGCCTGCAATTGCCTTGGCTTCGTGAAATCAAGACGCACTTTGCGGAGCATGCTCAGATCAAAGTGTTCAATCTTGCTCCGTGAAGGGACAGTATGATTTCCTCCAACTCCTCGCTGGTTGCACGGGGCGACCCCTCCTGTGAAGAGAGGAAGTCGTTTCTTCCGCAACAAATCAAACAACACGGAAGCAATATGGCTCGCAGCTAAGTATATCCAGCCTCGGAGCCCAGAGGTTCATCTTGAGCAGCCTGCGCTTCCAGTTTAGCCACACGAGCATGAGCAGCTGCCAGTTGTGCCTGCAATTGCCTCAGGTCGATGAAGAGACTCGTCCAAAACGTTGCAAGCCCAAAAGAGTGCAGCAAAATCAAAGTGAACAACAACAAGAATGCAAAAAAAAATAAAACAAGCTCTACCCTTAGTCTGGCGAGTGGCATAATCTCGTCGACGTCTTTGCCCGCGTTGGGTGATTCCTCGCCAAACCAAGGAGGAAACCAGCTTACCAGCTGAACAAGACCCACACCCACACCCCACTGTCCGAGAGCATGGGACACTGTGTCTGATGCTTTGTAATGCACGTTGGCCCGCTTCTAGCTCAACTTTGCCAACAATTGCATACTATGTGGCTGCTCGACACTGTGTTGACGAGCTGTCGTAGCCCATGCATACTAGGACATGCACATCACTCTTGACAATCCCGGCAGCTGCACTCTTGAAGGGAAATCGCACTTCTGAACTCATATCTACCATTGCCATGTCTTAGCAGCATTAGCA